AACCCCTAAAGCCTCAACCCTTAACCCCTAAACCCTTAACCCCTCAAGTTAAGGACTTTAGACCCTAAACCCTCACCCCTAACCTAAACCCTAGACCCTAAACCCTATACAATCCCCTAAATAACCCTTTAAGGAGTTTAGACCCTAAACCCTACGTAATCCCCTATATAACCCCTTAAGCAGTTTAGGCTATCATTGAAATGAGTACCCAGACAGGGCCTTGATGAGTGGCTCATCTGTTGGTCCTGTCACACTTCAGACTGAATCAATGTTTAGGTTTTAGGTCATGACGTTAAGGGTCTAGGGTTTAGGGTTAAGTGTTTTCCAGGACCTTTTCTCCATGGTTTAGGTTGTAGGATTTCGGTGCACGGCTTTGGGCTTACATTTGTCAGGTGGGGTTAAAGTTCGAGGGCTTCCCTGATACGGCTGTTTCTTGAACTTTCTTGATGCGACCTTCTCGGGTTGTTGTCCCGACGGTATCCGTTTTCGCGAAACCCTGATTTCAGGCCAGGGGCGGCATGTATGCTAATCAACCCCAAATCCTAAATCCTAAACCCTGAATCCTAGACCCTAAATTCTAAACCTTCAACCCTAAATCCTAGATCCTAAGCCCGGAACCCTAAATCCGCTGGCCTGCCAGGATAAGCTTACTGGGCAGACCACAGGTACCAGCAACCTTCAGGACTGGCGCCTGGTAGGGAAGTAGGGAATCTGATCCCTAGATAATCCCTACATAGTCTAGTCCCTTCTTCCCTTGAAAACCCCTAGTAAGTTTGGTGGTGGAAGATGTGCTAGATTATTATTATCATGCTTCCTATCCATGCTTTTGCACAAACGATTTCTGTACTACAGGCGCCTAACTAATTACCAACATCATGTTGAGGTCCATTTGAGGTACCATAGACCAGAATTATATCAGGACCATGGAATCATACTGTTGGTAATTGTATAGGCCCCTATAGTAGAGTGTAGGAGACTCCGTCAGTCCTGACCTGAAGACTATAGGCCCTAAACCCTAAACCCTAAACCCTAAACTCTGATTCTGCAATTGAATGTCCTGTAACTGGTTTGTCCAGGAGCAAGTTCAGAGACTTGAGATCCCTGTGGATGATCCTCAGTGACACCACCAAGTTGGGTATAAGGGTACTTAGGGGTTTAGGCTTCAGGGTTCAGGGGTTTAGGGGATTTAGGGGTTTAGGGTTCAGGGTACTTGGGGGTTTAGGGTTCAGGGTTTAGGTTTCAGGGTTTTGGCTGTTTGTTTTTGAGGACGTAGGGTAATACTGCCGCCGCCCCCCTCCACAAGGAATCCATTATCTTGAATTTTGTGTAGCTCTCTTGGACAGGATTGGGGGTTTCATGCCGTAGGGCGTAGGCGACATGGCAGGTATTGGGGCAACAAGTCCTGCATGCTGACTGTTACTTGCATCTTGAGCCAGAACCTTCCTAGACGGATCTACAACTCATGGTGCAAAAGGGGTAGTTCCCAAAATGAGGGTCCCATTTTTTGTAGCCACAAAAATTAGATGCCGTAACTAATAATAATCTTTAACCAAAAGGGCACATAAAATTGAGAACAACCCAAATGAATGCGTTTATGCAAGGCAGTCTCGTTTAGACATTCAAGCTCTGTTATAACAGTGCACACAACCGGTCATCTTATGACGTGCAACTTGGCGAATGCATGGAGCAGACTTGACTACACATCAGTCAGCCGAGCGTCATTGGATTAAACGTGTGCAAATAGCACATGGCCCTCGCCACATCTCTGCACATCTTGATCTGTTGTGGATAAACCTCGATTTGGCAATCAAGCTGTGCAAGGCTGATGTTGCTGCAGCGAACAGAGACAAGGGAGAAACACCTGGACTTTCCAACAAAACGTCATCAAAATACCGTATTCCTCAGCGTAAGGACCCACAGCAAACATCTCTTCGGCAAAACCCTACATACTAAAGCAGGAAAGCACCGGCATGGCTTTTAGACATTGAAGCAGGGGCTGGTAAACTTTTGATGCCCTACACTGCCCCCTAAATGTCCTATAAAAGCGACTCGCAAATAGGAGCTGCTCAAAATTATCTGTCCCTTCTGACGTCCCCATAAGCTGTTGCGTTCTCCTCCCGGATGCATACTGCAGATGTCACGTCTGAGCGAAACCCACAACACCTGCAAATTTCTGTTCCAAGTTTGGAGCCAGATTGCAGCAGCACGAGCGGAGACTTTGCGGGCTACTGTAGCCCCCGCTGAAGGTTCAAAAAAATCACATCTATGACTTGTACCTCTTCCGATGCGGCCAAGCAGCTAAGTCAATCTGTGGGGAATGATGAAGCAACCTCATCAGCGCAGCAGAACCCCGAGTTGGATACAAGAATTTCCATATCTGCCTACCTGAAGGCGAGCTACGGATCCACCCTTTTTTACAAATTCAAGTAAAAAAATCTGTGTTTTAATTCTATGTATCTTTAATAGTCTTTAATGAATTTCTGGGAAGAGGTTTTGGGGTGCCGAAGCTGGGTTGTTGTTGTTGAACTTCAGCTACGTTAGGGCGTTAGAGCTTGGGTGCTTGTCGGCTGTTTGGGGCTCCTTTCTCAGAAGTCAGAATTCCATGCCAACAACTTAGGTGGACCCCCCGCCCTGTAGTAGTGACTATAGGGGATAATAGAGATCATATTAGGGTCCTCTTACATTCTTATTATACCACTATTACAGGGTGGGGCGTCCTCCTAACCAACAACAAAGTTGGCATCGATTATTGACCCTATGCATCTTACTTTTTGTGTCGCATCTTCTTGCTTTGGGCTTAACCAAGATGAGCGAAAACAAGTTCTTGCCATGGGTTTAGGGTTTAGGGTGCACTCCAAGGCCTCCCTTTCCTGCCATCCTCTTACCAGCTTGAACCCCCAACTTGAAGGCCTATCTGAGTAGTAACCCCTTAAGGCTCAGGGTACGCTACTTTTTCCCAATTTTCAGCTTTAATAAGATACCCAAATAAAAAGAAAGGGTACTACTGGGGTACCTAGGATAGAAAGGATTGCTAATCTGGTTGTAACCCCGGACTAGTGTATCAGACGCTATGGTTGCCAGAAGGGTGACCGACTACTGGCAAGAACCCCCACAGTTGCAATGCTGGCAGACACAAAGCTATTGCTGGGGAAACACATGTCTTCGCCATCAAAACCCTAACACCCAAACATTTCCAGCCGAGGCGCTCAAATGCAGCACCTCCACCACAAAACTCGGTGACTATCCGCAGTGGCCGAGTGTCTAGGCAGACGCCATAGAGCTGAACCTGAGCTTGACATTAAGGTTTGGGGTTTAGGTTTAGGGGTCTTCGGGCGTGGGATTTGAGCTTAGAATTTACGGTTCAAGATGAGTTGAGGGCTTCAGGGTTCGTGGCTTGGGGGTGTGAGTGCTTACGAATTCTGAACCTGCGTAGCAGCCCTGCTTTCTCAGGACCACATCCTGCCATATCCCAACTTTTTCAAGCAAGTGACCCTCTCAGGAGAACCGGAACCCACATGTATGCTTATGTACTGTTTAGCAAGCACAACCCTTACTAACCCAGACTCTGATTAATAAACCCCCTCCTCTTAATGGGGACTATCATAGGGATCCTAATATTTAGGCCTGAAAAGGAGGGGGTTTATTAATCATGGGTCTACATTAACCCCTAGGCCCTCAACCCTAAACCCTGAACCCTAAACCACATATAACCCGATTATAGTAGTTTCCATTTTCTTTTCCATTATCCCTATATAACCCGTATATGACCCGAATATAACCCTTCCCACAAA